TGAACAGCCCTTTGAGGCGAGTCATTCTCTCCGAGTGCGCTTGTTTGCAAAGTCATGGAAAGGACTAAAAACAGCGTCATCTCTGATTGGTGGACGCTGCTGTTACCATGGAAGTGTCCAAACCCAACAAACCAATTTAAGAAACTGCCAAAGAGGTGTTTGCAGTCAGGGATGATATTTTGATTTATGCTTTACTACACAAAACACAAAATGCAAATTAGATTCGAAACTATTATTAATATTTAACACCATTATTAACCATATAAACATTATGATAATGATAAGGTTTGATTTTCAATAAAGCTTAAAGATACTGTGGAATCTGGATACTGTGGAATTTGCAATGCATTATGGGATGAGTAATGCCTTTCAAGTAATCATGTAAACACTCTTGCACCTTGGTCTTTTTTTTTCCCCCTTTATTTTTTCTGCATATCAAATCTTTTTATGGTCATGATTCACTCATAGCTGCCTTGGTTCAAGCCTTTAAACTCTTTACATCAGGATTTTCGTCAATAAATGAAAATGACTGGGAAGTTCACTTCTGGAGCCAAAGCCTTTAGAAAACGGGGTACTGATGTGCTTGTTTTGTTTGACCATCATAAAACGAGTTGGTTCCCCTTTATTTACCAAAACCAGCTGCATCACTGAATGCAAAACTGCTCCACAGAGAGGTTTCTACACAAAAGAGAAAAAGAAGTTGATTTTGATTTGATAAGTTTGATTGAGAAGTTTGATTTTAAATACTGTATATTGGACATAAAAACTACATTTTATATAAACTTTATTGTCCCATAGATTCACACATTTAACCTGTACATTCAGTTTGTTATTTGCAACATTGGTAATGGCATCTTTGCTGCAATCTGGGCAAATGCTTTAAATCTCTTATTTCAAAGAAACTACATGTGATGTAAACGGACTATATGTGATGTAAACAGCTGTTTTATGTTTATCTACAGAAATCAGATGGCAGTAGAGTGAGCATCGGCCAGAGGCGATAACTCCTCAGCGGATTAGTCTTCAGCAGACATTATTCAACAGGAAGGTGAGTCTTTAACTTTTATTCATGCACCATTTTTATGTGGTATAGCAAATATAGGTAAAAAAAAAAAAGAGACTGGCACTGGCTTTCCTCCCTGTCTTTGACAGATTGGCCCATGTGATTTGTAATTCAATTATATACCAAAAAAAAAGAAGAAGAAGAAAAAAAAAAAGCAATTCGCACATTTGTCATTAGTTTTCTGTTTTCTTCAGTGGGAAACAAATTATTGGATAATTGACTTTCGCAAAATACAAAATGTGTCATGCAATGTGCGGTATTGCTGTCTTTGCTCCACGTCAAAGTTGCACCTCTGTTTCTTGGAGCAACTTAATTGTCTCAAACATGCACAGAAGCAGCACGTTCGAGTCATGATACCCCAAGGCATAGATTAATTAAGCTATGAAAACCCATGAGCAGAGAGCATTCAGCAGGTGCCTGTTTGCCTTGGTATGGGACTTGTTTTTGGCAGTGGTGCAGTGGCTCATTATAAATCTATAATTAAGTTACAATTTTATTTGCTTTTTTTTTTTTTAACATACTGTCATAGGGGATCAACATGGCTTAAACTCTGATTCTGTTAAGTGCACTCTTGGCTATATCGCTTTTATGTCTTTATTCTTCCTCAGGAATTATGCTTTGACGAAAAAATGTGAATGAGAGGCTGAAAACGATACTGTGTGTGTCGCTTAGTGCTCGGTATCCCACGCCTCCTACAGGTGTTGATGTTTTAGCTTCTCATGATTCTTAAAATCTGCTGATTTGTTCTTAATCCAAAGCAAGCTGATTTGCCCACTCCTTTACCTCCTTGTATCTCGGCACATAAACAACCCCACCCCCACCCCCTCTCCCCTGCTGGCTGAAAGGATGGTCCTGAGAACCCCCCACAGTTCGACTCATCCCGTGTTGGGCATGTTGGCAGAGCCGGGTGATTGCGATGTAGCGGCTCTCTCAGGCCAACATCTGTTGTTCTGAGTCACCTGCCAACAAAGAGGGAGGGTGAGCTGCACAGTGAGGGGCCTGAAGGAGGGATGAGCAGGTCTGCGGGGGAGAATCCCCGTATCTGCAGGGTGGTCAGACTGAATGAGAGTCATCACCACGGCAGTAGTCTTTGCCAAGAGCTTCCTCAAGCTAACAATGTGGCCTGTGGAGGGGCAGACTAGGCAGGAAATTGAGGTTAACGACATTGTTACATATTAAGCAAGGGTTGGCTGCCTCCGTAGGCAAATCCTTGAATAGTCAAGCATGTTATTATTCACACGTGAAATCTATTAAAACTCACACAGTGTTTGCGGTTCAGTCAAGATATCCATTTTTAGTAATGTAAAAAAAAACCCCCACATATTTTTGGTATTGTGCTGGAAAGCTTCTTCAGAGATTTGAGTTTGAAAATCATAGATTCAAAATAAAAGTTTAAATTAGTTCTCATGTTTCAAGTACCATTATATCCGAGTGACCAGGTGATCACTGCGGTACACTTGAATCTGAATTGAATAATACATCTACAAACTCTCTTCAAGTGAAGTGACTAGTCATCGGTTGTGACTGTTATGAGTGTTTTCACAGGTGGTAATTGTTCACTACAGCACAGGTCTGTGCTTTAGCTTTCATAGCTCAGTCCTTACAAGTGAATCTCCACACTTTCCTTCACTCTTTCCCCCACTGTGCTTTGCCCAGGGGAGAGACGCCTTCTACGTGTTGTAATAAGGGTAGCTGATATAATGAAGGTCATTGTAATCAGAGCTAATGTGCCAAGGAGTCAAGACACTGTAGCTTTATTTGCCAGCAAGGCCCGGCATTTGGTACCCATGGGGATCAGGCTGATAGTGTTATCTTTGCTAACCTGACTCTAATACAGGCCTTGCTCCGCTGTTTGTGTCAGCGTCGGAGCTGAACTTTTCCCAGTGATCCCCTCCATGTGTGGATGGGCATGGATTGGGCTCTACTCTGTTCCATCCTGGTTAAATCCCATCCCAAGGTGTTTGGCTTCTCTCAGTTCACGTTCTGCATTTAGCGAGCGGCGCTCCCTCTCTCTGACTGTCGGACTTGGGAAAACAGGCTGGGCTTCAATGGAATGTACTTGACATAGAAACATTACATTGGCATCTGTTGAGAACTGGCTCGTAAGACATGACCTCTAAATCTAATCCTGTCCCTCAGGATATGCAAATGTCCTCAGCTCAAATTTGATTTGTTTTTGACTGTTCAGGACACGGCCGTTTGTTTATAACCGTTATCTAACATAGCGGCAGGAAAAAGCCGTGTTCGGTAGACAGTTTCGATATTATTTTCTCGTACAAATTTACCTTAAATGTTGGAATTAAAATTCTTCTTTCTTCACCAAGTATTCCGTAGAAAGAGCTGATCTGAAACGAGTTTTAGTTTCAACCAGGAAGTGAAAACTTTATGGTTAATACCGTGTTTAGTTGCAGTTAAGGTTATTTGTAATACTGACTGAACCGTTAAACATGTTATGCTAAAAAGTTTTTACAACTACAGATTCACAGCTGTCTTCTCCATTATTGAAAAGGCTCTGATGTCTGATATGTGACCTGATATTTATCTAGGAAAAAAGAAATACCCCATCCCTACTGGGCATCATCAGCAGAGCTTCAACATTAATTTCCATTTTTCTTATTTTTTTCATAGTCGCCTTTTAAACTTGGTGCTTTCAGTAGCAAACATCAAAGATCCTTTTTCCTATTCATCCGAGCACCTCCTGGAAAAAAAAAAAAGGCTATCCATATCTAACCCCATGCAAGTCCCCTGATCCCATCATTCAAACTTCCAAGCCTCTCTTTGTGGCTTCCTAGAGGACCACGGTGAAATGATCTCTTTTGTTTCGCATCATTAGTTCCATCTGTTGTGCGAGCAGGCCTGTCTGTTCCGGAGCATGGCAACGTGATGGTCGCCAGGGGCGATTGGAGACGCTGCCGTCCCGGTGGCTTGTGGCTCAACCTCTGCCACCACCATTGCCTTGTCCCTGATCCCCATGACACCATCCCATTCGCTTCACAGTTTCTGCTTATTTATTCATACGTTTGAGCAGATAATAAAAACGTAAGCTTCGTGTACATGCAGCACTAGTTTACCTTATACACGAGGCCCCTTAGGAGAAGAGTTTGGTTCAGTTGGGACGACATTCCTACAATCGTTTGCAAACAACATACAGATTTGAATCTCTATGCCTCAAACGCTTAAATGTCCGCTGTGTGTCAAAAACGAGCTTTAATAGGTCAGATTTGTGTGCTTATTTTCCTGCAGTCGGGAGTAAATGATGCGCCAAACAGATGTAGCATTTTCTCACAACAAGGAAATATTTTATTCATGATTTACATGAATGATAAATCTTCAGAAAGTCTTAGCGCTGATGGGCATACACAATTTAACATCTGTCTTCCTCAGAATAATTAATCGCTTACCAGAACACTCGGGACTCGGAGTTGGATTTTTCCTCTCACTTTACTTGGTCTAATTACTTCTTTAAAAGCAAAGCTTTCTCTAAAGAAGACTTGAATGATAAACACAGCAGCCGTACGCTCCGCAAAAGGAAAAGTTCAGGAAAGACGCAGGAAACGTCCTGCTCTCGCTTCTTAGTGCCGTTCCTGTAAAACCAAGCAAACCCCACCATACTTAAGACAGAGAAATGTGGCCATACATTCTAATTATAATTCGTAATTCCCAAATGAACATTTCCATAATGTCTCCCAAGTGAATTGCTCTTATCACCATAGTGTGAATGTACAGCACAAGGGCATCCGTGTGCATGTCAATGCGGAGATCGCCAGATAATTTTCATTGAAGATGGAGCCATCAAAGGTCATAGCCATCCGAATGACCTAACCTTGCAATGTAACACCTGGGTGTAAAAGTGGACTCATCCTATCTACTGGGATGGGTGTAATGTACCTCTAATGTATAAAGTGCGGAAATAAAATAAGAGTTATAGGTTGGTGGAGGAGGCTCAGTGTGGGCTAGAGAATACTGTAACTCTATAGGTTGAAATAGCTGTGTTGGTATCACCCGAGGTGACAGGCTATTGCCAAAGTGCTGTATTTGTTGGAACCATTATGAAATAAAGTGTGTGGAAAAGGGCAATATTCAGTTTGAATTGATTCTTGGAAAACTCAAGAAGTGAATATGCTTTCATTTTGATGGTATTACTATGGACAAAATGTGTTGTGTCAGTTTCACCTCGCCATTACTTTGCTCCATTAAGGCAAAACCGAGTGATTTTATTTTTGCCCAGTCTATTTTCTGTGATAAAATGAAAATCTGAAAGCTTTATTAAGTCTGAGTGACACCTAAAGCTGAGAGCCAACAGGAAAATAAGTCATGTGGGATCTAGTTTCAGTTCATTTTTGCTCAATTCCCATCTCCTGATCAAATACTGCACTTTCCAGTAGGGGCTTAATGGGAGTGTCAAGTTCACAAAGGCCCTCTCTCTCCCACTGACTCCATTACCTGATAACAGCGCTGGTTTTGGCACTTATTTGCACAGTGCAGCGCTAAGCTCGGCTTGTGCCGTGCGCATTCGAAGCAGGTTGTAATTGAAGCTGTACTGAGACCATTTTATTAATTTTTACAAATCTTCCCTGCCTGTATTTCCGAGCTACTACGGGCACTAACCCATCTCATTTTCCTTCGTGTACTCTGACTACTTGTGCTGCTCTTTTGAATGCTGCTTCTCTTTAAGCCAAACAAACATGACCACTGGTGTCTTGGGTTCAGGGCCTTTCAAACAACCTTTCAATAAAACAAGATCAGCTGTGAGACATACAGGATCTCACATGCTGGGCAGCCCCGCTGAAAATACCCTCCCTCCTGTTTCAAAGCCATCAGCTTTTGGTTCCCCCAGGAGAGCCAGCATTATCCTGCAGGGTTTATTTAAACTTGTTGGGAAGGTCTTGCCTTTTCTTTTTGATACACTAGGTTATTTGACA